ACTTACCTGTTTAGTGCCCCTTGCCAACAGTCTGCATCCAGCTTCTCAAATGTCAAGTGAGTAAAAGGAGATGCTCATACAGCTGACATTGACTATCTTTTTTTTTTTTTTTAAGATCTTATTTATTTAACAGAGAGAGAGAGAGAGAGATCACAAGTAGGCAGAGAGGCAGGCAGAGAGAGGGGGAAGCAGGCTCCCCGCTGAGCCGAGAGCCCGACTCGGGGCTCGATCCCAGGACCCTGAGATCATGATCTGAGCTGAAGGCAGAGGTTTAACCCACTGAGCCACCCAGGCGCCCCTGACATTGACTTATAAATAAGTCATCTGTACTCGAGAGCATGCATGCAAAGGTAGTGGATGTTGGAGATTTCTGCCATTTCCACAGGTGGTGGTAAAGGGATTGGTCTCTGGAGTCAGATCTAGCCGGGTTTGAATGCCCCCCCCCCACTAATTTATCATATGTGTGACCTTGGGCAAGTTTCTTAAAACTCTGTAAGTCTAAAAAAAGTAGACATAAACTTGACTCCCAGCACTGTTTTGAGATAGGAATTAGGTAATCCGTTCATGCATGTGGTCCAGGTGGGCGCCCTGTAAATGTCGCGGTGTTTCTGTTTCACACCATAGCTGGGGTGCTGGTCTGATCCTAGACACCCGCGCTCACGCCGAATGCTACAGACCCGAGGTCGGGTTTTACATTTCTGTTTATTTAGGTCCCCCATCTCTCTCAGAGTGAGGACCCAGGTCCTCTGGACTCTGTATGATCTGACCCTCCCCACATCTCAAACACTTGTGCACCACCACTGTCTCCCTTACTCACGCTGATATAGGTGCACTTGCCACTTCTTGTTCCTTAAACAAGCCAAATACAGTCCTACCTCAGGACATTTGCACTTGTCATTTTCTCCAGCTGGAATGGTATTCCACAGACATCTTCAACACTTCCTTTAGGTCTCTGCTCAAATGCCCTTTCTCTGTGAGGCTTTGTATATAAGACAGCACTCCTGCAGCCATTCCTAACTTTCTCACTCAGGGTTTTTTCTTCCCTATGTAATTTATCACCATCTGATGTATTATGTACTTTCTGGATTATTATTTTTTTCTTTTTCTATTTTTTAAAAATAATTTATTTGAGAGAGAGAAAGAAACATGGGCAGCAAACGAGCAGGAGGGAGGGGTAGAGGAAGAAGCAGACTCCCCACTGAGCAGGGAGCAGGATGACTTGGGGCTCAGTCTGAGGATCCTGAGATCATCATGTCAACCAAAGTCAGACGCTTAACTGACGGAGCCTCCCAGGCAGATCTCTGGTTTATTCGTTATTGTCCTTCTTTCTCTCATGATGCTGGGAGCCTTATTTTTGTTCACTGTTGTGTCCCCAGGGTTTAGAACTGGGCTCAGCATGTGGTAAGTACTCAGTAAATATCTGTTAAATTAATGAATGAGAGACTTTTATTTGCCTCTCACAAATTAACAGCTTAGTCATTTAATCAACAAATATCCATTAACCAGGCATTTTTTTTAAGGTATTGTTCTAGGTGCTATTGGGAAACTGGAGTTTTAAGATATGGACCCTACTTCTAAAAAGCTGACAGCTTAGATTTGGAAAAATGACTCAGACCAAAATAGTAAAAACTAAATAAAACAATATAAACATAACTAAAGATGCATGATGGTAGATTATAAAGGACATAGACATTAAGGTGAATCAGAGGTCAAAGGAGAAAAGGATTTCTTGGATAGGGTGGGCAGGGATGGTTTTTTGTAAAACAGGGATCTGAGCAAATCCTTAGATAGGGTAGTTGGGTGGAGAACTGAGGCGCCGGCTCCAGTGGAAGGATAGAGCGAAGGCATCGGTGAACACCAGCAGGTCTGTGAGAGCGCATTGGCTACTCTCACAGCCACAGTGGGGATTGTGGTTGTGGATGGCTTTGCAAACTGGACAAGCATCAGGGCAGGTGGCATTGTCCGGGGACTACGGAGGAGGGAGTGATGGCTTTGGAGAGCGGACTGTGGCAGTGTCATCAGATGATGCACCTGCCGATGTGTGCGGGAGGGCTGAGCGGGGAGAGGCTTGCCAGCAGGGGAGGCTTTGGAGACGGGCCAGGCCGAGGGCATGGGAGATAGAGCTGTGCACCAGGGAAGAAGGCCAGCTTTGAAAATAAACCCTTGTGGGCTGGCTAGAAAGCTTGGTCATTATCTAGGCTCTACTATCACTTTTCATCTTCCTTTTATTAACATTTAGCTTTTTGGTCCTTTCATGGCTCGTGGCCTTTTTCACTAGGTAAGAAGGGGGAAATCTAGTTTTTTAAAACCTTTCTCAACCCCCGTTTTAAAATTGGTTTTCAGAGGGAGAGCGACTTGGGTTCCGGGCTTTGATAAACATTAAAAAAAGATATTGTGAGCATTAAATTTAATGTTTTATAATGTCTTATATAAACACTAATTACATCAGGCTGCATGTTTAGCAAGATGAGTTCACTTCGCCGGCCCGTCCCTAGTCCCCAGTGCCCAGATGGAGGGGGGCCCCTCCCGAAAACTGTTTCAGCTGTCTTATGCGGCACTCACAGATGGGTTTAGCTTAGACACTGCTCCACTGGCAAGGAACAACAATGGTGTTAAATAAATGTTGGGCTGGTGGCTGAGACCCTATCAGGTTAGTGGGCTTTGCTTATACTGGTAAGAATTTTCCGTTCATGTCTGTTTGGAGACATGAACCCGCTCCCGCGACCCGCTCCTCGAATAGAGGCAGAGCAGTCTGAGTCTGAGTCTCTGAATTACTTAGCTCATGGCCTCAACTGTCCTCTGGCTGTTCTTTTAGTAAGTGATGGATATAACTGTATCTCAAACACATTAGAATAATCAAGCTCTGACATGGAATCTTGGAGAGCCGTCCCATATGGCCTGAGCATTCTTTAATTTCGCTGACAGATGAATAAAAAAGAAGTCCTTGCATACAAAGGAAGGAAGCTCTTTCAGTGTTTTTCAGAATTAAGTAGATTGGGTGGTAGGAATTTAAGTAGAGGGGAAAAAATGGATTCACAGAAATGCCTTTGAGAGCCCATTAAGATCTGCTTTCATGGAGGCAGTGAATGGTAGAGGATGCTGAGTGGCTTTCCCCTCTATTCTGGTGTTTCTGTAAGCAGCTGCCCCAGGTGTCACCATGACTCCACTGAAGCTTAGTAGGGCTGACTTGGATTGAGAGGAATTCTTGGTTGGGTGAGACTCAAAACCAAGGTAGGACTGGGACCAGGGTCCCTGAGGATGGCTATCATGTAACACAGTAGCATAAAGCGAGCAGCATCACACGAAAAATCTCTTGCCTGTCACTCCTGAATAACTCTGGCGCACGTGATAAATTGCGTTCCCGACTTCCTTTGTGAGAATACTGTGATTACTGAACAATAAGAAGTAGCCTCTCTTGTCTGTTTGCATGTACCATGTTGCAAACAACGAGAAACAGAAATGAAATGGTTAGCACCTCTGGGGTGAGTCTCCTTCCGCAAACCATGCACCATAGATATGTTCATCAGTTTAATTAGCTTTGGAGTTTTCAGAGATCAATTTTACGATGGAAGCAAAAGCAAATTGTACTTTCAGAAAGCTTGTAAACGCTATTTCTAATTTATATCAAGTACCAAAAACTTGGTTAATAAAACTTTAATGCTTTATAAACATATAAACACAAATGTGAGGCTGATGTCATTATGATAGATTTCTCAAAATTTCTAGATAAAATTCCACACTTAAGAATTCATATCTTTCCAGAACATTTATACACAATGTGGATTTTGAAGTGAATAATCTAAAATTTCCTGATACTTATTTTCTGTGTACTGCACAGGACGATCAGAGTTTATTTTATTTCCCTTTGCTTTTTATTTTTTTTTTTAAACAGAAGAGTTATTAAAAAAAAAAGAAAACCAATAAAAACCTTTCTTGTGGGGCGCCTGGGTGGCTCAGTGGGTTAAGCCGCTGCCTTCGGCTCTGGTCATGATCTCAGAGTCCTGGGATCGAGCCCCGCATCGGGCTCTCTGCTCAGCGGGGGGCCTGCTTCCTCCTCTCTCTCTGCCTGCCTCTCTGCCTGCTTGTGATCTCTGTCAAGTAAATAAATAAAATCTTTAAAAAAAAACAAACCTTTCTTGTAGCTGTGGTAACAAAATTACATTTATCTGAGCCTACCAAATATGCATACATACCCCCTTAACAGTAAATGCTCACTTACAATTATGGAACATGAGAAAAATGGAAATTCTTCTGTCTTGTTGCAGAATCTATAATCTAAAACAATTTTTAAACCACTTTTTGCTTTTATAGAGTTAATTTGGTAAGCTCCAAAGGACTCAAGAGTCTTTCTCAGGGCAGGCTAACCACATTGATTCTTCTCCTCTTTCAATTTTTAATTATCAGCATCCACACATTTAGGTTTAAGAACCAGTGTATACTTCACCTCCCTCAGATAACTAAGAATTGGTGTTCTCAGGCTTGTCTTTAGAAAAAGTCACTGGTTGAGCTGAGTTTATGCAGGAAAAATTTCTCCCCAGAAGGATAATGTTTTTGGAAAGGAGTGAAAGCAGGGCTTTGAATGAAGGCATGTGTGTAACGGAACGTGGGTGGGGGAAAGGCTGTAATTGACAGGTCCCTTCTGTGGCGTGAAAAGTCACCATTCCAGTAACTGCAAGCTACACTCAATTAGGCGGTTACTCAACTTGTGTCTTGACTTGAAAAATGCTTGAAATTCAGGAACCGTGGTCCTGTGGTCAGAAAGGACAATGAAAACATATTAAGCAAGGAAGTTCATTGATATATCTATATATATAAAAAGTTTATCTTCGGTCAGGAACCGGCATGTTAGGAAGACGTAAAAGATGTTTCAAACACCAGTAATCCACAGAGACAAATAAAAGCAAAAGGAAACTATGACAGTGAAACTCGGCATCTGGTTGACATTTACATAAAGACACGAGAGTACAAACAACTTTCAGCACGACAACTCCAGTGACATATTTTTTAAAGAGTGCAGAAAAGAAATATTTGGCTGAGCAAATCTTAACACCACATGTAAGAGAGCCATCAATATTTATTACCTTATAGATTTGCCAAATGATGTGGAGCATCTGGGAAGACTACACGGAGCGCCGAGCTGGAACTTGATTATGTGCTTTCATACGTTGTTCTGTGGACTGAGGCCAGGTCTGGTTCTTTTGGAAGAGATAAGCAGGGGTCTACTGACTTTGTAACTCTTCAGTAGATGAAAGTTAAGCAGGCAGATGTCTGCATGGACGGTGCTAGTGGGAAGCAAAACACCGTGGAGAAGAAAAAAACAACAAACCCCTGTTCTTTGAGACCCTCGCTGGCAGGGTGTCTGTTTATGTAAAGGCAGGGCAGGCAAAGAAGCCTTTGGGCTGAGGATGTGTTTTCATTAGTGGGCAGAGTACAATTCCCCGAGTGGGGAGGAGCCCAGCAGGTGCACAGTTCGAAAACCAAGGGGGAGGTAAGCTCTCTGGGAAGTAACTGCTCCCAGGCCCTTACAGGGTAACAGCCCTAAAGCTCCGAGGGAGTAATTAATGGCTGCGTGTTTGAGAAGGGCCCCTCCAAGTTGGTTAGAAAATCAGGCTGCATGGAATTCAATTTCTAGACTCTCGAATCTAGCGGCATGGTTCACTTCTGCCACTTCTGTCTCTGGCCCCAGTCCAGTGGCGTCAAGCCCGGTGCCCAGATAGTATTTTGCTAGAATGAGTTGTCGCAAGGTTGTGAATTCTAGAAAATATCAAATCTGAGGCCCAAGAAATTCCATCCACTTGGTATACCGATTCAGCCAATGGGGCTGCTGCTCTAATGGGCAAACATGCAGTCAACTTTCTCAAGCATCCTCTGAGCAGGGAGGGGCAGAAAGAATGGCCCATGACAACTGCTACCTCTGGCTAATGGATATACAGATATTGTATATCCAAATGGGTATATGGATAGCATGGATATTATACAACTGGATTATACTAATGGACATTTTACTATGCGGCCTGCTTTTATATATTATTTAAAATTTTCATTACTACAAGTGTAAGTAAGAGAAAGGGAAAGAAAACAGCTCAGCATCTAGTTGCAGCTGGAAACCAGCCTTAGCTGATTGAGATAAGAGAGTGGAAGGTGAACCTGTCCTTCCCCACACAACAGCACATTTCTTTGGAGGAGAAATGAAAAGTGTTCGAGTCAATCTGTTTATTTAGGTTTATTACCTTTCTCATCCCTCCTGCTTTTCAAAATGGAAGGAATAGTTCCTTCTCAGTGATTCCACAGGGATAAAGAAATCTATGTAAACATTCCATAGCTTGGTTCCCTGTTGGCCACAAGAGAGGGAAGGCACTGGATTTTTAAGTTTGGTGGATGAAGGAACGTAATGGCAGCTTAGTTTGAGAGAAGGGCATTGCTTCAACAGTCATGAATGAAACAGCACCTGTCACTTCCCTCTCTGGCCTGTCGCAGACAGCATCTTATTTGATCTGGTTAACTTGCTACCCAGGATATGATCATCCTGATTTGAAAGTGAGCAAAATCAGACAAGGGGAACCTCATTAATGCTGAAAATGCTTTGTGATTTTCAAAGAATTCCAATTTTTTTTGAACTTAAGAAACCACTGATAGTAGGCAAAGAAAAATATTTATTGTGCCCATTTACAAACGAGCCACGGAGGCTTAGACAGGTTAAATGACTTGTCTAAAACTTCTCAGGGTTTCCAGAAATGACTTGTGGTCTTCTATGCTTTTGGAGCCCAGGCTGGTTATGCAGCTTCCTGTCACGCTTGCATTATGTGGGTGTCTTGGGTCATTTCCTACCACCAAACTTCAGTCTTTCTCACTGGCCACAAAGCCAGATTCTGAAAATCTGTTCCTTGCTGACAATGCTCTTTGTTCCTCAGGGGGCTGACTGTAGGGAGAGATCTGCAAGGTGGAAGGAGGGGAGTATGGGAGGAGAGAAGGACTGAGAACTATGGGCTGGGGCACTTCTGAGAAGAGAGCTTGCCAGATTCGTGTTTGTGGAGATCAAGTTGGCTTCTCCTGGAAGAAAAACCTGGGCGTGTGGGCACGTGGGGAGCGGATTTCCTGCAGAAGCCCCTGGGATCTAGGTCCCTTTTCTTGAGGGCCCCTCTGGCTAACTCCTGGTAGGGAGCGTGCTAAATGGGGGGCTTCAAATTCAGACCTGGCTTCTGTTGTCCTAACCTTGTACTCTGGACAGGACAGCCCTTCCGGACTGGCTCCCGGTAAGTGTAAAATGAGGAGCTGTGGACGAGTCAGTAATGGCGAGTCGGAAGGGTCTGCCCAGCACAGAATCTGACCTGGACCCTCAGTAAGTGCGATTCCTTCTTCTCCTTTCCTTCCTGGCAAAATCCTCCCGAGAATCTGTTCTTCCCAGTAGATGCTTGAAGGAAGGCTGGAAGGAGAGGAATCAGAACCCCCAGAGAAGCAAATGACCTCCACCGTCTTCCTTTCCTCTGCCAGTGGCCGTCCAAACTTAGGACCCGATCACTGTCCCTAGGACCATAGACCCTCCTCGAAGAGCGGACGGGTCGGGGTGGGATCGGGGGGAGGATGTAACGCCGCGGGTGCCTGGGTGGCACTCGGTTCCGAGGTCTGGACCCCGGCGGCCCAGCCGGGTCTCAGGTCCACGTGCCCGCTCTACAGCGCCCCCTCGCGGCCTCTTGCCGCAGGGAGGACGAACTTGCCGCTGGTTTCCCCAAGCTGGGTCTCCGGGCAGCGACCCCACCCCGGGGGTCGCTGGCGTTTGACACTGCAATTGCCTGGGGATCGCTAGACACTGGGAGAGGATCAAAGCATTCCTCCGGAGCCCGAAGCGCCGAGGGATGCACTTTTGTTAGCCTGGCCTCACCTCACCAATAAATTTTTCTGCAAACGATGGGGCAGGGGTGGAGGGCCAAGGGGGGGCCTGGTGGCCGGAACGAAGGGACGGGAGTGTCATGCACCTGTGTTCCTGCCGCGTTAAATCAGTATGATGCCAGTGACATCTCCACCTTTCTTGCCCCCTTCGAACCACTCATCTCCCTCCCGCTCATCTCCCTTCCTTAAACACCCGCCTGCTCTGTGGGGTTAGCATTTTCAAAGAGAATATTTCTTTCCTCCGGCCTCTTAAAAGTTTATGTAGCACTTTGTTATAAGGGGTGTGCCCTCAGGCGGGGCTTTCTTCTCTCCCTGTCCCCCCCTTCCTCCCCCCACACAGGCCTTTGCCATTTTCTCACCCCACCTAGAAGTATAAAAAAAATATATGGGACATAGCTTTAGGGGTGATTTGTTTTAAGTTTAGGTCTTTTATTTTGCAAACTAACAGATGGAAGCCTCAAGGAGGGAGGGTGAGGAAAGTGGCTCAAGGTCAAGGGTGACTTTAATTGGCAAAACCAAGGATAGAAACAGGAAAATCCTTAACATTACCAACCCCCACCCCCCACTTATTTCACAGACGGAAAAAAATCCCAGAACTATCTCAGGCCAAGTCAAGTACTTTGTAGAGGTGTCGGTGTTCTCACCAGAGGCTGGAGGCTCGGGACTCACGCTTCAGTCACTGGAGTATAGGGACAGTCGCTTGCTAGCCACAGGAAAGCAAGACAGAGCCCAGTGCAGTTTGGTCCTCTCTTCCTCTCCACTCCCTCCCCACCCCCAATCCAGAGCAGACACCATAGTGCATCTGAGCTGTGCAAGACATTCTGTCACGGTCTTCTGCCGGGCTGGGGTAGAGCTTGAGCATAGGATGTTTCTGGTAGAAATTAGGAGGCTCCCTCCTGCCAGGAGAGACGCTTCTCAGAGAGACTTCCTGGGGCTAATACTCAGACCCGAGAGTGAGCATATCACACGGAACAGGGCCAGGAAGGCCTGTTTAGATGGCCTGTAAGTTTTTGCTTAAAATCCTACTTTGGAACCTTTGTGAATTGTGAGTACCCTCTTTGTCCCCGGAATGAATCCTCATTGGATCTGGGCTCTAGGAATTAACTCTTTCTTGAAACTACTCCATGTTCCCTTTTTTGACTAGTTGACAGCTTTTTTTTTTGTTTTGTTTTGTTTTTTTGGGGTTTTTTTTTTCGGTTTTGCTTTCACATTTTTAAAAGATTTTATTTATTTATTTGACAGAGATCACAAGCAGGCAGAGAGGCAGGCAGAGAGAGAGGGAGAAGCAGGCTCCCCGCTGAGCAGAGAGCCCAATACAGGGCTTGATTCCAGGACCCTGAGATCATGACCTGAGCCAAAGGCAGAGGCTTTAACCCACTGAGCCATCCAGGTGCCCCCATCGCTTTAACATTTTTGACCTCCATTTTGACTAGACAGGATCAATCTTAGAAGTATGGTGCAGCAGAAATACCACCAAGATGTCAGAACTAACAGTGAAGTCTGTTTCTAATTTTTTTCCTCCTCCTCTTCCTCTTGTCCTCCGTGGACTTTCCTCATGCCCTTCGTCTTATTACCATGAACCATGAGTCCATCAACAGATGTGACAGTTTGTTAGAGCCTTTAAGGTTTGAGAGAGAATCTGGAAACCACTGAATCTTACTCCTTCACTTTTTAGTTGAGGAATCTGAGGCCCAGCAAGGTAAAAAATTTGCCCAATGCCTGCTACACATGGATGAAATTAAATTTTCACCATAGTGCCTGACCCCTCCCTGCTTTTTTGCTTCCTCCTCTCTCTTGCTTTCTCTCTCCTTGATATAGTTGGACTGTGGGGAAAATATTGAGAGTGATTTGAGCGTGGATAAAGTCTGCTCCCTCCCCATGTTAACCCCCAGTATGGGATGGGAGCGGGGGTGTAAAGTCTCAGGGTTGAGGGTGAGCTGTTTCAGTTAGTCATGAGCCCCCCTGGGGGTAGTGGGAGCTCCAGAGCAGGAGACAGGCCGAGCTTCCTCTCATGGTAACCTTCCCTATAGCATGGCACTGCCCCTGGGGCAGAACCCAGGCTCCGCCACCATTCTGGAGTCTGCCTCCCCTCACCACCATTTGGAATGGGTACTGAGGAGTGAAGGTCCTCTGTGGTTTCCTCATCTTCTAGCTGCTACATGACCCTCCAGTGAACTGAGCCCCATTTCCCAGCAAGGAGGATAAATACTGCGGGGGTGGGTGGTGGGTGGGAGGGATACCCTTCAGATATGCAAGAGAGGCAGGATTGCTTCACGTTTGGGGCATCAGGCGCCACACCCGCTGCAAAGGGCACTGTTTTTTTTTAATTGTATGGAGGCACCATGGAGCCTGAGAAGTTACTGTGGGCCCGTGGGTCCTGGACGGCCACTGTGTGCCTCTCTAGCAAATCCCATGCGCTTCTCTTAGCCTCAGTTTTCCTCTCTGGACTAGTCATGTCCCTCTCGGTTTCAAATGCCTGTGATTTAAACCCTGCTTCATGCGGAGGAGGGAGGAGAACCCAGATCGCATTGTACTTTTGTTCAGCTTTTTTTTGGACACGCGGAGCAAGGAAAGGGAGAACAGTTATCTCCCGAAAGCTGCCCCCCGCCCGCCCCCTTGCTTGTGACAGGTCGTATATTTGATTACTCAAAGCAAATTGGGAAATCATATCTCTGCAATCCCATCTGGGATTATTTATTTCGCTGCGTCCACAGCCGGTCAAAGTTGTGAGAGGATACAATGTTAAAAGTAGCTTCCCGCGAGAGGAGGTGGATTCGAGTTCATCTCCAGAGAAACCAGAGCCATAACCGGCCACAGCAATCACTTCTGCGAGACGCAGAAGTTTCAAGCGTTCTTTACCACCCCAGGCGCTCGCGGCAGGCTGATCTAGCTGGCGGCGTCTCAGGCTGGTGATGCAGGGCGGGGGTCCTCCCGGGTCCAGCTTGGTCTCCAGGCCTGGGAAGCAGGAAAATGGGGCAGGGCGGGGCGCGGAGGAGATCGGGCTTGGAATCTCCCCGGGCCTCGCGCTTTCTGTCGCGGAGTTAAAATGACAACCATAAACTGATACAAGTAACAACTTCCAGGTACTCCGGGGTCAGTAGGGCCGGGTCGCAGAGCCAGGGGATCTACAGTGTCCTTTCCTTTAAGGTTAACCCCACTTCGCAGTTGGGGAGAAGGAGGCGCAAAGGGAGCTGAAGGATGTTCTTCGCTACCGCCCAGCCGAGGAGCGGCAGAGCCCGCATTGGAAGCCCCCTCTGCCGGCTCCGAAACCCCGGCGCTCGGCCTCCAAGCCGGATCGCCCGCGCCCAGCCACCGCCCGGAAACCGGCCACGTCCCGCTACGCTCCGGCGGCCTAGGGCTCTAGGAACCGGGCGAGAGGCGGCCCGCCTGGCAGGGGAAGCCAAGCGCCCTCCAGTCGCACCCAAGCCGGCGTGGCCACGCGGGCCCGAGGCACTGCGCACGGCGGGCGGGGCGTGGGTGCGGGCAGCGGGGGGCGCCGCAGCGGATCCACGCGTGAGCCGGGGCTGATCCGAAACACGCTTCCCTCTTTTTCTTTTTGGAGCGGTATTTGAAGGAAAAAAAAAAAGAAAAAGAAGAAAATGACCCTCCCTCCCTTCCGCTTTCTTGTTAAAGTTCTGTTGATGGACTTGCGGCAGGCGGTCTTCGCACCGGGTAGGTCCGAGCTGTGCGGGAACGGGAGGGGGGGTTGCTGCGGTTAGAGTGACAGAGATTTGGGGGGCAAGGGAGAAGGAAGCCGAGAGAGGAGCTGAGCAGTTAAGAGAGAAGGAGTTTCTGAGGGCCTCGCCCACCAAGCCAGACCCGCCGCATCACCGGGGGCCCCACTGCTTTGTCATTTACAAGAGGGACTCGGACTTGCACTTGGTAATTTGGTGGTTTACCTGGCAAGGGACTTGCTTCCTCACCCAGCAGGTCCTAGACTCCTGGCCTGACTCCTTTTTAGAGAGGAACCCGGAGAAAGAATCTGGATTCCCTGGCCCCTCGCCTTTCCGTCGAGCATCCCCACTGCCTTTCCGCGGCCGGGCCCAGAACCAACCAAGGAACATTCGTTGAGCTGTTCTCGCTAGGTGAAGACTGCCGAGGAAAGCCTCTCTTCCCATCTTGCAGATGAGGCAACTGAGGCGCAGAGATAGAATTGACCAAGATCACGCGGTCAGTGGACCCACCCGTCTAGATCCCGGGCTCTCTGCTCCTGCTGCTTCGGCACGGTTTATTTACTAGCCACTTTGTGCAACCCTAGATTCTCTTTCCATTTACCCAGAAAAATGGAGACAATTTCTTGTTTAATATTGGAGTCCCTCAGACTTCCTGAAGCTCATCCCAAGATAAAAACATCCATTTCCCCACTCCCTTCCCACATACCTCACTTCTAAGCGGTTGTTGGACTTGGGATACCTGGGGGGGGTTGGCATTCAGGGCCAGGGAATAGAGTGTAATTTAACTGGATCGTGATTACAGCTGCGGGCCTCCCCGTGGTGGATGGGGTACAGGGAAGGTGGTGGACAGGTAGGGGTGGGATGGAGCGGGACTCGTGGAATTGGGCAGGGAGGTGTGGAGGTATGGAGGCTGTCTTGTAGGTTTCTGCCAGGCGTGGGGGAGTGCTGAGAAGGTAAGGGCCCTGCGCCCACCCACCAGAAACCTGCGGGCAGGGCCCTTCAGCAAGCGCAGAAGAGCCGCCTTCCCCACCTCGGGGCTGGTGAAGCCGGTCCTGCTGACCCACGTTCTCAGGACCTTGCTCTCTTGGTTTGCTCAGAGTCCCAGGAGCCGGTGCCACTGTCCTTGGGCCCTACTACCTCCTGCACCCCCAGTCCCCAGCTCCAGTCCTAGGTTCGCCCGCATGGTTTACTGTACACAAATCCCTCTTGTTTCCTCCTTATGTAGCAGCTTTTACAACTCCCAACTAGTTCAAGGGCTGTCTGTCTGGTTTATTTTGTGTTTAGGAAATTGCCATTCAGTGTCCCTTTGCCCTCTCGTTCCTTCCCAGTTCCCCTTCCCCTCGATCTTTTACCCCACATTAGCAAACCTACTTTCTTGATTTTGTTTCTTAACATTTAAAAGAACTAGTGAAGGGCTAATGATGACCTCATACACTACCCCCCTAAAAGCAACAAATGAAATAAAAGCCCAGGGAGCCAACTGCGTGCACATGCGGCCGGCTCCGGCGGAGGTTTGTCCTTCACTTTCACGTCACGGGGGAGAAGCACTGAAATGCGTGTTTGCAAAAGCAGAAATGTGTCTAGCAGGAATAGTCGCAGAATAGTTGATAAAAACGTGCTGTGTCCTGTTATAGGAGGGCTGCTCCTAACGCCAGGTACAAATGTCAGACGGGGAACGGGGAATAAAGTAAACAAAAACAAAAACGCGGACCCATTGTGAGTCTTTGTGGTTGGGTCGCGAAGGGCTCCCGGAGACCACTGGGCTCCTCTTTGAAACTCAGAGTCGTCATTGGACAAAATGGGGGAAAATAACACATTTCTGTTGTCAGGAATTCAAACGCTCTAACATAAGTGAACAAATGCACTTAGACGAATATAAGAAACTACGAAAAAGGTAATAAAACTCACTGGTGTTATTATTAGTGGGACCAAGCGAGAGGCACGAAAGGTCTGCGTGACGCTTTGTCCCGTGTCTGAGCGCGCACAGCTCCTGATTTACCTTCTGAGACGCCCCAGAGCAACTGAGCAACGCACTGCAATAGTCAGGACGGATTCTCTGGTTCCTTCCCTGGACATCGCGAAAGGCTTCGGGGAGAAGCACCCGCACAAAGGGAAATCCCAGTGTCTGGTTACTAGGAAAGAACTCTGCAACTCCACCAAAAGCTTGAGAGTACCTGCGCGTCCCGCCGGCCGTTTGCGTTAACTTTGACAGTAATCAACTTCCTTCTTTCCACCGCTCAGAACTTGGTTAACTTCTTTTCACGGGCTCTGAGAAGAGAGACGCTAGAAGCAGTTCAGCAATTTCCTTCCTTTAACACACACTTACCGCAGGCCTACTATGTGCCCAGTGCAGTGGCGCTTTCCCAGTCTCTCCTAAACAGATCCTGAGAGGCACTGATTATTTAAAGGTGTTCCTAGAAGTGGGTCTAATGGCTTTTAAATTCATTTCAAGAAATAAAATGTAACGTTGAAATAGGGGACTCATTCTTCGAGCATGTCGGAAATTTAACTGTTATTAATCATTTGCGTAAGGGATTTTTGAAGCAGACGGTAGAAAGTCTCTCTTTTTTCTTTATAAGTGCACTCATGGACACTAAAAAGTCATCCTTTAAAAAAACAACTTCGTTTGAAAACATGCTTGGAGTGGGTATATTGCACTTAAATCTCATAATAGCATGTATTTCCGCCCCCCCCATCAACTGTAACAATAATTGACAGCGGAGAAAAATGTAAGTGACGTGGGTGCCTCGGCCACCTGCCGGCCTCACGGGTTTGGTGGAAGTTAACGAGTTAACTACTTTGCACTTCAAGGATGAGCGGAGCTGGCCACAGAAATATCTACAGATCACTTGTCCGCCAACCTGGCGCTGGGGGATGCAAGGTATCGTGGTTTAGTGTTGCAGGAGAAAGTAGGATGCCGCTGCGCACCGGGTTGGAGAGGCCTCACTTCCGCGCCCAGCTTTGGGTTAATTACCGAGGCGCGGAGATACTGGCGATGCCGATAACGTGCAGATCAACACCAGCCTTTCTGACCGCTGGCTTGACTGTTGCCTTCTCTGTGAACAATGCGATCCGTAAGAGTGTGTTTCTGCTTGTTTCCTATAGTCCGCGGGATAAATGGCGACTTCACCCCAGCAGACGCCGTCACACTTCGGAGTTAACGTTGGGGCCAAAGACCCGGCTGCACCGAACGCCGCGCCGGAGCATTTTCGAGAGGAGCGCGGCTGGGAGGGGCGCCACGGCCGCGAGGAGGCGGAGAGCGCCAGGCCGGCGCGCCTCGGCCAATCAGCGTGCACACCGCCTGACAACCGTCCAATTAGAGGGCGCGGAGCTCGGGGCCCGGAGCCCATAATACTAGGAAGGGGAGCAGAGGCTGAGTATTGCAGCAAGGGGCGCTGCGCCGCGCGCAGCTGCGTGCGCCCGCCCGTCCCTAGATCCCGAGATCTGAGCCAGGCCAGGGCGGCCCAGCCTTCCCGCCCAGACTGGGTGAGAGGAAGCCGAAAGCAGCTTTAGCGGGGTGAAGCGCTCGGGGGTGCCAAGGACCGGTTAGAACTTTGCAGAGTCCGGGATGTGCGGAGCGAGGCCGCTGAGGACTTGATTCATCTTCTCCAGACCCTTCTCCCCTGCTCCCCATCCACTGGGCTCCAGGCCTCCAGCTGTCAGCCCCCGATTTCGTGGCAGGGTGTGGCGACCCCGATTTCTGTTTGCAAGCACAGCCAGCAGCCCAAGAGCCAGGTCTCAAGGCTGGATAACTTTTGCCTCGGCTGCTGGCCCGGGCCTCAGAGTCTTGGTGAGTGCCGTGATGTTGCTGGGGTGTCAGGGAGGGCAAGTATCACCTTTTCTTATCTTTTCTACTTTACGTGCATGTCTTGCCTGTACGTGCAAACCGTGCCTGATGTCGATATGGAGACCTTGCAGCTCAGCCCTGCGCGGCTCAACGCCTGTTGATACTGGAAGAGCGTCGCAGCTCCATGCCCCGTGTCCTTATGGGGATCTGACAGAAGAACAATTTCGGCTTTGAGTTATTTGCTGGGGGTGGGGGACATGAAAGGACCTTTCCAAGCTCAAAATGGGGTCCCTGTTTTTGAGAGGCATTTGAAAGGTGTAGGATGGTACTTCGCTGCGTCTGAAGGGCCCCTGTGATCTAAAGGAAGAGGGCTCTCCCACGGACGTGGTCCTGTTCATCATGGCCATAGTAGTTGGACGTGGGGAAGCCTGACGAGCGGACTAGGCCGGCCTAGTTGGACACAATACTCTGGGGTGTGTGATCAACGCGTTTCCTAGGGACTTGTCCCGAGAAGGGGTGTAAAAAGCCAGAGAGTCTGTGGTTAAAGGTCAGGTGCTCATAGAGCACTTAGAGTCAATAGATAAAAACCTTGTTGGGTTGGGGATTTCTGGGGCCCTGAAGATACAGGAAAGGCGCTGTGGTGTGGGAGTGAGGGACGTGTAGAGAACAGGGGTCCTCAAGGGGCCAAGGTTGGCGGACCAGGAGCGTGGGGCCCGAGGCCGAGGGTCCGTGCCTGACGGCGGTCGGTGCCTCTTGCGGTCTTTCCGTGTCTCCGCAGAGCGCAGGAGGAGACTGAGCGTAGGCCGGAGCGGAGCGCAGTGCGCCATGGCCGACCGGCCGGCGGCGGGCCCGGCGGCCGGAGACTGGGAGATCGACGTGGAGAGCCTGGAGCTGGAGGAGGACGGCCGCGGGCCGCCGCCGCCCACGCCGCCCGGGCCCAGCCCGCCGTCGGCCGACGGGGACGGCGAAGACGACGAAGACGACGAGGACGACGACGACGCGGAGGACGAGGGCGACGGCCTGGACGCGAGCGCGTCCCCGGGGGGGCCGGGCGGGCCGGAGCAGCCGCGGGCACCACCGCCGGGGCCAAGCCCCGCGCCGCAGGCCTCGCCCGCGCCGGCCCGGGCCCCGGAGCGCGGCGCGAACGCGGGCGGCGGCGCGGAGCCGCGCAAGCTCAGCCGCACGCCCAAGTGCGCGCGCTGCCGCAACCACGGCGTGGTGTCCTGCCTCAAGGGCCACAAGCGCTTCTGCCGCTGGCGCGACTGCCAGTGCGCCAACTGCCTGCTGGTGGTGGAGCGCCAGCGCGTCATGGCCGCCCAGGTGGCGCTCCGGAGGCAGCAGGCCACTGAGGTGCGTGCCCGCCGGGCCCGGGGTCGCGCCTCGCGGGGGAGCCGGGCCGCCCGCCGTGGGGGTCGGGCGCGGGGCGGGACGTCCCCGGGGCCGCGGCGCCTGGCGCTTCCCGGGAAGGCCGGGGAGGACGCTTCTCTGCTCCCCGTGGCCCGCGGAGACCGGCGGGGTGGAGAGGCGGCCGCGGGCATCGCTGGGGGAGCTTGCCGGGGAAAGTTTTGTATTAAAAGCAGGCGGAGAGACCTTGAAAGTGGTTCGGGAGTTTGTGGGAAAGCCTTTTTTTTTTTTTTTTTTTTTTTTTTTTTTATTTCCCAAATCTTTTAAATGTTAAGGCTTATTTTGGTGGTGCTGGGGGGAGGAGGACGGTGGTAGCCGCAGTGCCCCGGTTCTGTCGTCCGTCCCCGTGTTTCAGCGCTGGTCTCGGGAGGAGAGCCACGCAGCCGGTTGTGCGCTCAGCGCTGCCGCTGTCACGGGCCCTTTAAGAGAGGCACACGAGCTGCCCATTTTACAGATGAGACCACACTGGCAAGGGGAATGAGGTGCCCGCAGGAAAGATCCCTGCTGCCTTGCACCGTGCCAGGGTTTTCTTTAAGGGGGAGGCTTTTCTTGAACGTCAGATTTCTGGTTTCCTTATGTTCCTGCGCACGGAGAGCTCAGAGTTAGGGAGTCTGCGCGGGGTCCCCTCTCCCAGAGTTTTGCGTTTACATTTTGGCGAGAAGGGCCTGGGGAATGGATCACCATACACACAGAGGACAGTGACCCTACTGGAAAGGTTTCCAAGGCCCCCCCCCCAAGAGTGTGCGCTGGATGCCCCAGGTGGCCTTGGCCCTGGGCTGGGCCTGCCTCCGCCTGCGCCATGTTTCACCGCGGTCTCCAGGGGGCCTCCCGGGTCCTCCTGGCCTGCTGGGCTGAACTCGGGGTTACAAGGGCCCAGAATACCACAGACCTGGCGGTGAGGGAGGGAGCGAAGTCGTGTTTCTCCTTGTCCCCCTTGCCAGGAGGTCTCTGAGGGTTTTGTTTGCCTTCCTGTGTCCCAGTCTTTCAGTGTTTTTAGCCGGACTCTGGTTTGCGAGACCGGTACCCTCATATCTGTCCTTCAGCCCCCTGCTCCCCATCGCACCTGCCCTACTGCGAGGAGGGACCAGCTCCACCTCACTGCTCAGTGGCAGGCCATGGACACCTTTGACCCTATTTCTGGGTGCCTGGAAAACAGCTGTACCCCACAGCTCTCCTTCAGGGCCTGGCTCCTGTCTCCACTGTGGGTTTTGCCTTCCTGTGGGATGAATAATTTCTGCCTGTGGGATGAATCTGGGGTGACTCTAGCCAAAGTGGACCCAGGGAAAATCTGCCCCCCTCCCCATCAGTTGAAGTTGGTGGCCTCAGACGGAGCTTCCAGCTCGTTGTCCTGGAATTAAGGGGAGCTGGTGTAAATTAGTTGAGAGTCATTTTTGACATGGGATGGCAAAGTAAGTACATTTAGACCAGGAGGGTTGCTGATGCCACTTCCTAGTCGCTCCGGTCCCACAATTTCTTTGAGGCCAGTGTTGATTATGCTTCTTGTGTTTACAGGACAAGAAGGGGCTTTCCGGGAAGCAGAGTAATTTCGAGCGCAAAGCCGTGTATCAGAGGCAAGTCAGGACGCCCAGTTTGCTGGCCAAAAGCATTTTAGAAGGTAAAGCAATGCAGAATTATTCTTCAGCCTTTTAAACCAAGTTCTGAGGGATTCCCATTATTCACACATATGGCGTTTTTATTAACCTGTGAAGGAGCAGTCTGAGGGGACGGTGCTTTTTATTAGGAAGTTTTGCTCTGGGGAGGAAATCAGGATGTGGGAAAATGGATCTCACATCCCTCCTGAGGTTTTCTTCGCCGATAATTCTGCTGTCTGCTTAGTAGTTGTTGTTTGCTTCATAGTTAAGGGGTGAACATGGAGTGTGTCTGAAATTTGCCCCAGCATGAGGGGTGTGCAAAGATCCACTGTCACCTGATAACGGGGTGAGGAAGGACATCAATTTAAGAAATTTCTTTGGTTGTCGTTGGAGCTAGAGTCAGTCAAGTGAGGAGGTCAGCAGCTAGCCACACGGGTAAAGACCTCTAGTCGGGCTGACCCACCCTCTAACACCACTGTTTTTCATCGTACTGTATTCCTCCCCAGAGAAGCTATGTAACTGTGGTTATTGTGCACCTCAGTTGGCCATTTCTGACAGTCAGGTTTGTAGAATTGGGAAGAGGTTTTGAATCAAACGAGGAAAGTGGAGATTGAAGTTGAATTTGAACAGCGTGAATTCTTTCTCTCTACCATGTCTAAAGCCTGGGGATACATTAATTCTTCTTAGATTATTGCTGATTTTCTGGGAATAGAATTTATTTATTGATCTGATAATATATTGACTACCTTTCACCATTTAAATAAAGGAGAGTTTATATTTGTTCTAATCAATCTCTTCATAAGATTTGGGTTGAAAAGCAGGCTTTTTTTTTAAGTAGATATTTGAATTTTTTTTTTTCTTATGTGGCTTCTGAACGGAGTTGGTTCTATGCAGGTTTTAAAGTTTGTTCGTGTCTTACTCTGTACTATATACTTCTGACCTTAGAATGGTTTCTCATGCATTAAAAATAAATTTGGTTGCAAACTGGGTAAACAGATTTTTAGCCATAGGGACCACAGGGATAACTTGAAATGGTGCCAAAGCAGCTCAAGGAGTGGGAGGGCTAAATGGAATAGTAAATTCAAGTAAATAACTTCCTGGCAAAACCTACCATAGAGATGGAAACATTAATATTCAAATTTTATTTTATTTGCAAATGAGGACGATGGGTTTGTCACTGTGTAAACAGAGACATCACAATGGAGACTTCAAGCAAATGTGAGAGCAGCCAGTCCTGGGGGTTAGTGAAGTACTCAAAGGATTTTATGCTACCAGGAATTCTACTTATGTCATGTCAATCTTCATTGTTGTTTGGTTGTTTTTAATACTTCGTCCTTATTCATAAAATGTGCACTGACTTTTTATTCTAATGATCGCTTGTTCAGCCATTCTGGGATCTGGCCAGCGTGATCAGAACTTGGGAAGAATGTTTTAGTTCAGTAATTTTCAGTGTAGCTGCAGCTCTCCTCTCTGCCTTTACTTTTGTTTGCTTGTTTCTACCTCCAGCCTCTGGGAGGGGCCTGTTGAAATCACTGTAGAGTCTGACCAGTTAACAGCTCTTTTTAATTTTCTATGTTTCTCTGTTTCCTTAAGTCCCTTCTCTTTTTCTCCCCACTAATCTGCTGTAACTTTCTCTTTTCCCCTAGCTCTCCTTGGACTATTCTACACCTGTAACAATGTATATGTAATGAACCACCTTTAGAAAATAGCCGTGCTGTCAGCTTTAGGAATAGAGATCTTTTTTTACCGTGGAGAAAGATGACACGGATAGTAAGAAAGCACTGACTGAGCAAGATGATGGGCAGACTTGTCTCTTAACATGTAGGAGTCTGGGAAGTGCATGACAGTTTCAGCCAGTGACGTGTGCCTGGACAGGTAAACAAACACACCCGTAATGACAGAACAATAAAGAAAGTTACAGGATCTCTCCCCTGCTCCCCGGAGAGACCTATTTTAAACTGAGCCTACACTTTTGCTTTCTGTGTAAAAGATGAGTGTTTTGGAACTGTAAATTTTTCTGGTTCTGCCGACTTGCGGTGTTTCTGTTGCCTTCTCAGCTCCCAGATTTGTCTTCCTTAGGTGTTAATCTCTTTCCCTGTGCAATGCTTGCTCATTTTAGGCTACCGCCCCATTCCAGCCGAGACTTATGTGGGAGGGGGCTTACCCCTCCCTCCCCCGGTTAGTGACCGGATGCGGAAAAGGCGGGCCTTTGCCGATAAAGAGTTGGAGAACATTATGCTGGAGAGAGAATATAAAGAGAGGGAGATGCTGGAAGCGTCCCAAGCTACTGCCTTGTTCCTGCCCAGCCGCCTGGGGCACGGACCCGAGTACAGCTCCTACCAGAGCGCCTACAGCCCCACCCCAGTGGAGACGGCAAACAAAGACTTCTGCAATTTCCTGCCCACCTGCCTTGATCTCACCATGCAGTATTCAGGGTCTGGGAATATGGAACTCATCTCTTCCAACGTCAGTGTGGCCACGACTTACAGGCAGTATCCCTTGTCCTCGAGATTTTTAGTTTGGCCCAAGTGTGGCCCCATCAGCGACACTCTTCTCTATCAGCAATGCCTGCTAAACACCACCACCTCGGTTCAAGCCCTGAAGCCCGGCACCGGCTGGGACTTGAAGGGAGTGCGGGTCCAGGACGGACTTGTGGCAGAACACGACTTGTCGCCCCCCAAGCTAGAAGGCTCGCTGCTGCTGCCTCACCCTGTGGAGGTCCAGACCTCAAGAAGTGACCTTCAGGGTCACCAGGCCGTCCCCGAGAGGTCTGCATTCTCCCCACCCAGACGGAATTTCTCTCCCATTGTTGACACGGACTCCCTGGCAGCTCAAGGGGACGTCTTAACCAAGATCAGCAAAGAAAGCGCCAGGCACCCTCCGCCACTTAAACATAATCCATTCCACTCATTATTCCAGCAAACTCTTAATGACAAATCAGGTCCTGAGTTGCAAACACCATTTGTCAAAGAGGCCTTTGAAGAGGTCCCTAAGAAGCACAGGGAGTGCCTAGTCAAGGAGAAGCAGAAGTACACATTTACAATAGACAGATACGCCAAAGACCTTTTCGTAGCCAAACAAGTAGGAACAAAACTGTCTGTGAATGAGCCGCTGTCATTTTCTGTTGAGTCTATTCTTAAGAGGCCTTCATCTGCCATCACTCATGTCTCTCAGTGAAAGGCTGCTTACAGGGAAAGCTGGATTTTCTGCCATCTCAGAGGGTTCTTACCAGTTGCTATCTTTTTTTTTTTTAAGAAAAGCTAAGATGTTTGTCTAAAGAAATTTCTAATGTAAATGGTGATGATTTAAAAAATGATATCTATTCATATGCATGTACTTTTTCTCCCATAAATATATTTAAACCTAAAGATGGAAATTGCTTACGTGCAAACTGTAAAGTTCCGTGCTTTACACCGCATTTCAAAAAGCAATAAAGTTGACACTGTCTTCTCAAAGACCCAGTATTTGCAGAAGTACCTAGTCGTCTCTGTCTACAGGAAAAACTAGTGTCCGTGAAACATGTTCCTTGTTTTTCTGTGATTCTGCGCAGTTCCAAATGCTCCCAGTGGTCCCTGGAGGCCACAGGAGATAGCTTATAGTGCCTTAGTTTTGCATTTTAGAGGCTGTGTAAATATAGCTACTCAAAACTGAGGCAAAAAATAGCTTTAAGGAGAGCATAGAACAGCTTTGCCTGTTTCCGGAATCATAGTTTTGCGTGATGGGACAAAGTGGAATTAATTTGCAGGAAGATCAAGTTTAAGATCTTGTTTATATGGTGATCTGAGTTCTCATGATGGATGTCTTTTAGCTCTTGGCATCCCAGTTTCCTTTCCTGGCGGGATGTATATCTGGGTCCTCAAGCTTCCTTTCCAGATTGAGCTTTCTATGCCATCTAGGTGGCTAGCGCTCCCAGAGCAGATTCACTTGTCATCAGACTGTATGATTGAATCCCTCTCAGCTCTGTTATTTCACTGTTTTCTAAGGACCATTGACAGCAGGCACTGAGAGGGGGACACGGTCATGACTCTTCCGTGTCCAGCATGATGCTCCCACATTGTCACCAGTGCCAAAGGCTTTCGGCGTAGCTTTAAACAAAATCATGTTCAGGTGACAGAAGCCAGCAGACAGTCTTCACAACACGAGGGTGACTTCTTGAGTCTTAATCCCATCCCTCCATTTTTGAGTTTATTATTACCTTATAGTTTTGCTCAATAAAATGTTAAAAACTATTGTACTCTATGATTGATAAAATGAGAGTAAGTCATTTATGAAAGTATTAAACTTATCTCTGAAGACCTCATCTGCGGACTCCAAATGAAGTTTTAGGATGCCACAGTCATTTCCCCCCCGAAAATCCAGAGCCAGACAACCCACCGTTGGTTTTGCAATGGAGTGAGTTGTTATTTCCAGTTCTCCTGTCACTTGGGGAGCAAGAACACTCGTTGGGCATGTGGAATGTGCCAAGAGGTTTGGCAGTTTAAAGAGTTTCTTTCTTGTTCTGGAAAACGTTTAAAATTACTTAAAAGTGATTTTGCTACTGATGAGCTCATGTAAACCTCCAGGGGTTCTCTGAATTCTTGCTTAAAATTAGAATCAATTTCAAAAACAACAAGCCAAGGCTTAGATTGATTTCCAGTTTGTTCTTGTAAAATAATATTTGGTTTGATTGAGTCAAATTTATTTATTCTTACTATTGCAAAAGCCAGAGCAAATGGCAGTTTGCCAGAGGGAAAGAAAATGAAAGAGGACAGAGCTCACAATGACGGAGATTATCATCATTAAGTGGAAATATGTTTTCCAGTCATGAATGCTGGTGTCTGGGACAGAATCCGACTTCAGCCACCCCTCCCGCTCCTCCAGTCATCTTTGTTTTATCGATAGAATTGTTGATTTTTGTCTTCCTATCAGGAATTTGTTTTTTGTGTCTGGAGTGAAGTGTAAACTTAACATTCAACCTTACTACTGCCAAGGTAATGGGGAAAACACATCAGAATAAACTCACAGGAAAAAAATCCCAACAAGGAAAAATAAATCCCAAGGAGAAGGCCTTCTTAATCCAAACATGGGTTTCCTCTCTTTTTTTACTCTATTTTAAATAATTTGAATACTAACATTGGTCAATTTCCCCCCCTCTTTGTGTTCAGTGTACATTTTGGGACATCTTTTCTGTCCTGTATCATTTTAGTCTCATTAAGTGAATCCCATTGGCTGTGGGTATAAGTGGTTTTTATCACATTACCAGTGACCAGAATTTTTTTAAAAAGATTCTTTATTTTTATTAGAGAGAGAGAAAGGGAGCCAGCATGTGAGCTGGGGAGGGGCAGAGGGAGAGAAGCAGACTCTCCACCAAGCATGGAGCCCTATGTAGAGATGACATGGGGCTCCAGGAGGGCCTCCACACAAGGCCCTGTCTCAGGAGCTTAAGATTGTGACCTGAGCCCAAACCAAGAGTCAGATGCTTAACTCACTGAGCCACCCAGTTACCCCACCAGCGGTCAGAATTTTATTGTTCTTGAACATTTATAAGGGTCAGTACTTAAAGCAATAATATTATTATTATATCGTGCATTAGTTCTGCTCTAATGATGAGTTCTTGGGATTTCAAACCTACTGTCAGCCACTCAGTGAAAGATTTGTGCTTGGCCTGTTACGTCCGACCATCATTTCACCTTGATCAAAGCTACTGTTTGATTCTATAGAACCTTCCAAGAGCACTGTCATCAACATCAGATCAAACTTGTGGTTCAATTTTCTGTGTTCAAGACAATAAATGGATTTGGCTTTCATTATTTTTAAGAAAGTAAAGAAGAGTAAAACATGGACCTTCTCCTCCATTTAACTTACAATAAAGTAATGCAGTTTTAATGACACATTTTCCTTCCATCTCAACCAGTCAAACATTACGATTCTCTGCTCTGTTTGTAGTCATGCATAGTTTCCAACATTGCTTCCCAAACTTGAATGGACCAGCGAATCACCTGGGGATCTTGAGAAATACAGATTCTGTTTTCTGTAGGTCTGGGGAAGGGCCTGAGATCCTGCTTCTCTAAACCCCCCGCCACGGGATACTGGGGTTGCTGGTCTGTAGCCCGCACTTTGAGCAGCAAATATATACATTTTGGTTATTTCAATGCACGTTTAATCTACTCTTCTGTGGATTTTGAGTTCTAACGCAATGGAGTTATCTTCAATAATTTAATATAAGAGAATCATTGAAAAAACACTGCCATCCAAACCCGCAGACTGTACAACATTAAGGGGGAATCACGTGGGAATGTGGACTTTGGTGATTAGGAAGCGTCAGTGCTAGTTCATCAGTTGTGACTCCTGCACTGCCCTGGAGGGAGATCTGTTAGTGGGGGACACTGCCTGTGTTGGGGGGAATATGGGAAATCCCTGTACCTTTCTCTTAATTTTGCCATGAAGCTAAAACTATTCTTAAAAAAACCAAAAAGTCCTTTCTTAACCCTTTGATGGCAGAAAGAAGTAGGACCTAGGCATAGTCCTGACAGAGACAAATTATTTCCCTTTCTCCTTTTTTTAAAACTAGAAGATCTTTTAGTTCAGTTACAAAGTATTTTTTTGATTGCAGCAAAACACACATCACCTAAAATTTACCACTGTAACCATTTTTTTTTCATTGTAACCATTTTTAAGGGTACAGTCCATAGATACTAAATATATTCCCCCTGTTGGGCAATCATCACCCCATCCATCTCCAGACCCCTTTATCTTGCAAAACTGAAACTCTGAACTGTAACTCTGAGTTACACAATAACTCTCCCACCACCCTCCCCCCACTCCCAACCCTGGCTCTGAAAACCATTATTCTACTTTGTGTCTCTATGAATTTGACCATACTAGGTACCTCCTATTAAGTGGGATCATTCTGTATATTTTCCTTTTGTGATGGGCTTATCTCACTTCACGGTTCATTTATATTGTAGCATACGTCAGAGTTTCCTTTTTTAAGGTTGACTAATATGCCATTGTGTGTATACACCACACTGTGTTTGTCCATTCATCTATCCGTGGACGCTTGGGCTGCTTCCATCTTTGACTCTTGTGAATAGGGCTGCTGTGAGCATGGGTGGGAATATCTCTTCCCTCAGTCCTCACTTCCTGATTTCGTCGTCTTCCCATCTTCAGGAACTCCATTTTTTCCAAGTACACATCCCTCCCACCCCAACCCTGTCCCCACCCCCAGTGTGTGGACCACCTCTCTCCTTCCCAAGGTAACACAACTCCACCCAAACCCTCCAATGTCAGATGTGCACTTTCTGATGTGCTGTAAGTGCATGTGTTATCACATCGTCTGCATTTAAAACCTTAATTCCAATTGTGAAATGAAGGACTTGTATTAACTTGTATTAAGAAACTTCCTGGAATTCCTTCTCCCAAGTCTCAGGGGGTGCTAAAGACCAAAGAAATGGCCGAGGGTCAAGATAAAGAAGAAAAATGAAGCCACAATTCCATGTAGAATAATGGCATTGCTTAGTATCAAGGCTGGGTTTGCCTTTGGGACTAGAATTCTTACTGGCCTAATTTTATTTACTTTTTGGTAAACTTTTAAAGATTCCTATTCTAGGTCTGTGAATTCAGGCTTACTTCTAGGATCCAGTTTGTAAGGCCAATAATTCTTTTGATGGTTGGATCCTGAAATAATAAAATTTGGCCACTTGTATTTATTTTAATGATTGTACCAAGCTTTTTTCATACTTTATGACCCTTAGTTATTTTGGTTTTTGGCTTATTATATCTATAAACACATTTAGAGATAGAGATAGCTGGAAATAGATTGGCATTTGGTGTGGTATAAATATTCATAATACTAATTAGCATGCATTTAGTGCCTGCTAAGTTACAGAGCACATTCACGTTTAACTCTTTTGTTCCTCATACATAAAAAATTCTGTGTAAGATTGGCAAGTGGCCATATAAGGAGTTTAATTTCATCTCTGTGTATGTGGACAGAGATTTGGAAAAATTTTTTCCCCAGTATACAATATGATTTGATGTGGTCTAATCTGTTTTTAAGACTTTTTAATGTAAATGTAATATATATCATATGTAATGCATATATTATATAATATATATTATATGTACATTAGATATAAATTATATATACATATATAATTATAATTACATATAATTATATATATATGTAATATATATATATAATACTACATAATATATATATATCTTTATATGTATAAAAATGTTACCTGTAAGACTGGCTGTATCTCTATGTAGAAATATTTGGATATCTGTCCTAACTTCATAAAATAACAGACACAGACACACACACACACACACACACACACATGGCCCATGGAGTTATGAGAACCATTGGGATAAAAACTGAGTCGACTAGGCATAATTGACTGACAGCCCCAGCTGTCAGGCCTTTCAGTCTACCGCAGTGTTCAGGCCAAGGCCACACTTTCCTTGGCTGCTTCCAATG